TCTCCTGGGCCCTTTGCCTTCTGTACTCCTTCGATTCTCTAGCACACTTGGTTTTGGCCTCTCTACACCTTTGGGTGAGCCAAGGGCTCATCCTGGCTTTCTCGTTATTTCTGTTACCCTTGGGTATAAACCTCTCCTCATCTTCCTTGCATATTGTTGTCACATATTTCATCATCTCGTTCACTGACTTCCCTGCCAGTTCCCTGTCCCAGTGAACCCCGTGCAGGATATTCTTCGTGACTGTGTAGTCCCCTCTCTTGTAGTTTGGCTTCATTCATCCTGCCCTTCCTGCTCCCCTCTCCACTTGTAACTCTACTATGTATTCGAAGCTCAGAACAACGTGGTCACTGGCCCCGAAGGGTCTTTCATATGTGATGTCCTCAATATCTGCACTACTCAGGGTGAATACTAGGTCCAGTCTTGCTGGTTCATCCTCTCCTCTCTCTCTGGTAGTATTCCTTACGTGTTGGTACATAAGGTTTCCAGTATCACCTCCATCATCTTAGCCCTCCACGTTTCTAGGCCTCCATGTGGTTCCAGGTTCTCCCCGTCGATTTCCTTGTGATTGAAGTCACCCATGATCAGCAGCTTTGCCCTGCTCGCATGAGCTCTTCTGCCCACTTCAGCCAGTGTGTGTGTGTGTACTCACCTATTTGTGATTGCAGGGGTTGATGCATAGCTCTTGGCCCCGCCTCTTCACTGATCGCTACTAGGTCCTCTCCCTCTCCCTACTCCACGTGCTTTATCAAACCTTGTCTTAAAACTGTGTATGGTTCCTGCCTCCACTACGTCACTCTCCAGACTATCCCCCTTCCTGACAACTCTATGACTGAAAAAATATTTCCTAACATCGCTCTGATGCGACAGAGTGAACAGGCAAAAGGAAGGGGGGTTGGCCTGTACATTGCAGAGTCACTTGTTTGCACAGAACTGCTAAATGCCTCAAATGATGTAGTGGAAGTTTTAGCAGTAAAGATCGAGAACCAAAACCTAGTCATTGTGGTAGTCTACAAGCCTCCGGATGCAACATCCCAGCAATTCCAGGAACAGCTGTTAAAAATTGACCACTGTCTGGAAAATCTGCCAGCTCCTGCACCCAACATCTTGCTCCTGGGGGATTTCAACTTAAGGCACCTAAAATGGAGGCATATAGCAAATAATATTGTTGCAGTAATAACACCAGGAGGCAGCTCTGATGAAAACTCACACTCACACGAGCTTTTAAATCTCTGCACAAAATTCAATTTAAACCAGCAAATAATAGAGCCTACTAGACTGGAGAATACACTAGACCTCATCTTCACTAACAATGATGATCTGATACGAAATGTCACCATATCAAAAACAATACACTCAGATCACAACATAATTGAGGTTCAGACATGTATGCGCGGAGCCCCAGACCGACATAATGAGAGCATTCACCAAATTCAACTCCAGTAACAAAAACATAAAGTGGGACCAAGTAAACCAAGTCCTAACCGATATAAGCTGGGAAGATATACTAAGCAACACAGACCCCAACTTATGCCTAGAACAGATAAACTCGGTGGCACTCGATGTATGCACAAGACTTATTCCTCTAAGAAAAAGGAGGAGTAGATGTAAAATAGAAAGAGACAGGCGCTCCCTTTACAGGCGACGGAAAAGAATAACAGAGCGGCTAAAAGAGGTCAATATATCTGAAATGAGTAGGGAGACACTGGTCAGAGAAATAGCAAGCATCGAACTTAAGCTAAAGGAATCTTATAGGAGTCAGGAATCGTGGGAAGAACTAAAAGCCATAAATGAAATCGAAAGAAACCCAAAGTATTTCTTCTCCTATGCCAAATCAAAGTCGAGAACAACGACCAGTATTGGGCCCCTACTTAAACAAGATGGGTCCTACACAGATGACAGCAAGGAAATGAGTGAGCTACTCAAGTCCCAATATGACTCAGTTTTTAGCAAGCCACTAACCAGTCTGAGAGTCGAAGATCAAAATGAATTTTTTATGAGAGAGCCACAGAATTTGGTTAACACAAGCCTATCTGATGTTATCCTGACGCCAAATGACTTCGAACAGGCGATAAATGACATGCCCATGCACTCTGCCCCAGGGCCAGACTCATGGAACTCCGTGTTCATCAAGAACTGCAAGATTTGACTTTGACACGAGCTTTTACCATCCTATGGAGAGGGAGCATGGACACGGGGGTCGTCCCACAGTTACTAAAAACAACAGACATAGCCCCACTCCACAAAGGGGGCAGTAAAGCAACAGCAAAGAACTACAGACCGATAGCACTAACATCCCATATCATAAAAATCTTTGAAAGGGTCCTAAGAAGCAAGATCACCACCCATCTAGAAACCCATCAATTACACAACCCAGGGCAACATGGGTTTAGAACAGGTCGCTCCTGTCTGTCTCAACTATTGGATCACTACGACAAGGTCCTAGATGCACTAGAAGACAAAAAGAATGCAGATGTAATATATACAGACTTTGCAAAAGCCTTCGACAAGTGTGACCATGGCGTAATAGCGCACAAAATGCGTGCTAAAGGAATAACAGGAAAAGTCGGTCGATGGATCTATAATTCCCTCACTAACAGAACACAGAGAGTAGTAGTCAACAGAGTAAAGTCCGAGGCAGCTACGGTGAAAAGCTCTGTTCCACAAGGCACAGTACTCGCTCCCATCTTGTTCCTCATCCTCATATCTGACATAGACAAGGATGTCAGCCACAGCACCGTGTCTTCCTTTGCAGATGACGCCCGAATCTGCATGACAGTGTCTTCCATTGCAGACACTGCAAGGCTCCAGGCGGACATCAACCAAATCTTTCAGTGGGCTGCAGAAAACAATATGAAGTTCAACGATAAGAAATTTCAATTACTCAGATATGGTAAACACGAGGAAATTAAATCTTTATCAGAGTACAAAACAAATTATGACCACAAAATAGAGCGAAACACCAACGTCAAAGACCTGGGAGTGATCATGTCAGAGGATCTCACCTTCAAGGACCATAACATTGTATCAATCGCATCTGCTAGAAAAATGACAGGATGGATAATGAGAACCTTCAAAACTAGGGAGGCCAAGCCCATGATGACACTCTTCAGGTCACTTGTTCTATCTAGGCTGGAATATTGCTGCACACTAACAGCATCTTTCAAGGCAGGTGAAATTGCTGACCTAGAAAATGTACAGAGAACCTTCACGGCGCGCATAATGGAGATAAAACACCTCAGTTACTGGGAGCGCTTGAAGTTCCTGAACCTGTACTCCCTGGAACGCAGGCGGGAGAGATACATGATTATATACACCTGGAAAATCCTAGAGGGACTAATACCAAACTTGCACACGAAAATCACTCACTACGAAAGCAAAATACTTGGCAGACGATGCAACATCCCCCCAATGAAAAGCAGGGGTGTCACTAGCACGTTAAGAGACCATACAATAAGTTTCAGGGGCCCGAGACTGTTCAACTGCCTCCCAGCATACATAAGGGGGATTACCAACAAACCCCTGGCAGTCTTCAAGCTGGCACTGGACAAGCACCTAAAGTCGGTTCCTGACCAGCCGGGCTGTGGCTAGTACGTTGGTTTGCGTGCAGCGAGCAGTAACAGCCTGGTTGATCAGGCTCTGATCCACCAGGAGGCCTGGTCACAGACCGGGCCGCGGGGGCGTTGACCCCCGGAACTCTCTCCAGGTGACTCATCTGAGTCTTCATCTTCCAGTTGTGACCCCTTGTTTCTGTGTCCCATCTCTGGAACATCTTGTGTGTGTGTGTGTGTGTGTGTGTGTACTCACCTATTTGTGGTTGCAGGGGTCGAGTCTTAGCTCCTGTGTGTGTGGGGGGGGGGTGTATGTGTGTATGTGTGTGTGTGTGTGTGTGCGTGCGTGTGTGTGTACTCACCTAGTTGTGGTTGCAGGGGTCGATTCACAGCTTCTGGCCCATGCCTCTTCGCTGGTCGCTACCAGGTCACTCTCCTTGCTCCATGAGCTTTATCATACCTGAGTGTGTGTAATTTTAAAGACTGATTGACTTTTAAAAAATAAAAATTATTTGCCAACTGGTTTCCGACCTGGGCCCTGCCACCTTTGTTTCTTACATTTTTCAGTATGTTTTCGTTATTTTTCAATAAACAAATTACCTTGTAAGAGATGAAGTCAATTGACTACACGTGGGTCATTATGGTTGCAATTCGCTATACAGGGGTAACAGTTTTGAGGAAAGTTGCTTATTCATCCTGTCCGCCGAGCGATTGCGGCCCTGTTCCTGGACCCATTATGTACCTCTATAATCTTTTGACTACCTCCCACAGGATGGGTATGGGGTGCATAATGAAGATATTAAACTAAACTCCCGCCCGAGATTAAACTGGTGTCCTTCGATTGTCGCCAGTACCACTTATCTACGAGCTACCTTTCTTTTTCATTGAATGGATGTATGATTATTATATTCATAGAGAAATGCTATAACCCGAAGAGATGATACAGCTCCTGGGAATGGGAGATAATCAGTTTTGACTCAATGGAGGAATGCTTAACAGAATGGAAGTAATAAACCTTACAAGTGCCTTTACATCGTGTTACAATAACACAGGTTCACAAGTTCGAATATTATTTTTATTAGACTTATTCATCAGCCTGCATAAATTAGACTTCATTGTGTATTTTAAAAGATAAATTCTGAGAGTGTGTTGACGTCAGTGGACTTTCCAACCAACATCTTTTCCGTAATGGGAGATGGAGGTATCGGGGAATTATTTTTAAAATGCAGTGATTTTTATCTTTCTTCCATTTCCATACAGGGATGACTTATCCATGCACTCACGTTTACCTAGATTGGCAATATCACTCAAAATAATGTATAAAAATACAAGCAAAATTCTTGTGATTTGTGGTTGTTGAAGACTCCGGCAGCAGCAGCAGCAGCAGCAGCAGTCTGGGGGGAACCGGTTGGTATATAAGCTGCAACAGCTGAGGAAACTTCACTCTTGTTGCTGCTGGGGACGTTGACGAGGTCAGGACGTGAGTTCAAGTCTATTTTTAACAATTTATTCGAAGGTATATACATCAGGAAGTGTGTGTATACATTGAGTTTACTTTAATCACTATGTTAGGATTAAAGTATTTTTGGTAGAAAGTAAAATGTGTAGTCGACAAGTCAAATAGATTCATATTATTGGCAATAATAACTTTCTAACTATAGATTATAATCTATATTGTTAGTCAGAAAGTTATTATTGCCAATAATAGGAATCTGACTGTTTGACTTGTCATTTTTTCAGTTATGCATTTGTTGAGCTAATACGAATAATATTCCTCGTCCAAGGATCACAAAGGTTTAGGGCAACACGGGCTCAGTTTAAATTTAGATCCGTTATTTATAATCAATGATTTACAGAATAAACATTAATAAAGGATTCGTTTTTATGAATTAATAAAAATGGATATATAATGAGCCCACATTGATAGGGCTCTCAACGTAATTATGAAATGCTAATGTCCCTTTTATGGGTTCAGTCAATTTTTATTATGCTGGAGCCTCATTTATGATCATTTTTAATAATACTCTCCCCTTCTTATACTGGGAAGGTTTTAAGCATCTTTAAATCATGGATCTTATTATATACTCCACATACGCTGCTGGGAAGAAATTGCAGAAAGAGCCCTATCTTGTGTAAAATTTAGATTGTTGCTCAAGTTGGCAGTGTCTGTTAAGTGTCAGGAATCTCTTCTTGCTTTTGTTTCAGTTGAACGTACACTTTTTTCTAGAGATGTGATCCTCATGATCCTACTGTCACTCCTGAATATAAATCAGCATTTCTTCATCGTTGTTACATTTATTGTTTGGTCTGTGATTGCTTGCTCTTGAAAGAACAGGCTCTTCAAAAAAAAAAAAAATATTATACAAAGAAAATGGAGGATATTTTCCACGGTTCCATATTATATATCAGGTTGTTATTACCCTTGAGGGAGGTCTCTTGAAGCCTTTCAGGGCTCTTCATCATTCCCTTCCTTGGATCGAACATTACAAGACTGTTATTCCCTTTAGCCCCCTTGGGATGAGGATGGCAGACCAGAGGCGCCTAGCTTCTCCCTACGAGCCCCGTGAGGGCGGGGAATGTGGCTAAGCCTGGGGACAGTTGGTCCCGACGATGAGGAGGTAATTGAACTTCCTCCCATGGCAGACATTAGCCTGAGATATTCCCGAGACAGGGAGCCAAGGCCGGGCCACCATTTGGAAAAGGCCCGGGCCGGGAGAGTACCGGCGAATCAAGAAGCTGATTTCATTCCTTATCCCATCACTATGACTCCTATGAATTTAGCGCTTCCCCATGATTACCAATAAAAAATAGCTTATATTTCAAGAGCAAACACATATTCTAGGCTTAATGTACTTTGTATGTGCCCAAAACATGTGCTCTCTCAGGCCCATTGTAGAAAGCATTAAATAATGTACGCAAAGCCTAGATAAAATCGTATAATAATTACATAAATGAATTGTTTATGTTAACAGGCAAGATGCTGCGAGTGTGTTGTATGATGATGGTGCTGGTGGCCATGGCTGCAAGTCATCGACCCTGTCTGGCCCCCAAGTATGAAGTCAGAGGCTGTATCAACAGCTGTCAGGCTGCAGACAAGCCCGGCTTTTTCTACTGCTGTGACAGCAAGGGTGAGTTGTAGATACAAATGTACATACAGTGGTGTTCCGTCTGTGGTTTTTTAGTTGCATGAGAAGAGCTTGCTTGTGGTGTCGAGTCTTCAGTGTTAGCAGTTACAAAAGAACTATGCTAATGGTGTCTCGCCTTTAGTGTTTGCGATTACGAGATCAAAGCTGTGCTCAGAATGTTTGTAGTTATAAAAAACAGATGTGCTCGTGATGTCCTGTCATCAGTATTCGTAGTTACAACAAAGAAATGCTGGTTGTCTCGTCTTCACTGTTTGTAGTTACAGGAGCAGAGTTATGTATATATTATTATAATCAAAAAGAATCTCTAAACCACAAGGGCTATACAGCGCTATGTATATAGTGTCCCATCTTTTAGTATTTCATTTCTGAATTGATCCTATGAAGTATAATTTGTCAGTGCATAAATGCACGTTTTTCAAAAAGAAAGGACCCTAATGGAAATAAGTCACTTTGACTTTTTGGGGGGTTATCCTTGGTAAAAAAAAATCTGTACACATATACTGCTATGTATGATAATCCATGTAACCGTATTTGTGTATACCTGAATGAAGTTACTTAGATAAGATTATGAGATATGTGACGACAAAAGTCTGCTAGACTATTCGGTAGCTGGTAAGTGTCTGGGTAGTTAGTTGGCTTTTGTATGTACATAGATGTTTTTTTTTATAGTAAAGAAGAGGAAGGTGGAATACCTTCCTCTTCAAATCAAAACAGTGAAAGAGAATGAAATAAAGCAAAGATTAGGTGCCAGAAAGAAATTTGTATCAGAGTAAGATTAAATGAAGAGGATGATGCGGAAGTGTGTATGTAAGAAGTGTTAGAGTAGCCAGTTAATTATATTGTTCATATATTCAATGTATGTATGAAAGAAAGGAAAGAACATGAAGGCTGAAAGAGAGCGCGCACATTTTTGTGCATGGAAAAAAGGAGAGTAAGAGCAGAATGAGCCTGGAGTGGTTCCAGGCAGTTGTTTAGGGAAGACTGATGGGAGACACAAAGTATGGTTGCTCTCTCCCTCATTTCTAATATTTGACATACGTGTGTTCAGGTACCCACAAAGGAACCTGCCCTAAGGTTCACCTTCAGAAGTACGAGAGGGACGTGTTGTGTGACGTATCACAGTTCAACTACCCCAACCATCTTAACTGCAAGTATGACACTGACTGTGAACCTTGGGAGAAGTGTTGTTACCTTCCAGACAACAACCAACTCATCTGCCGTACTGCTTTATATAATTAAAGCATGAACCAGACTCCTATGATTCTAACACCTTGTTAGCCAACGACACCAACCTGTGGACGAGTTCTAGCTCCTGGTCCAATGCCCAATGCTTACATAAATATGTAAAAGGCTTTAAGGACGATTTTTTATAACTTGACAATCATTGTTAAAAAAAGGTTTATTTTAACAATAATACCATGAATCATTTTTAAATCATAATAAAACTAATTGATTTGACTTCACTATTGGCTCTATCTCTATACATGGTATTTAAAAAAACATGCTAATACTTAAAATCAATATTTTATTAAGATTATTTAGAGCCAAGCACTTAAAAAGCCAAATATTAAATATGATGTTTTTTCATACAAGTTCTTAAAGCTCTCGCCAGCAGAATTACATTATAAGTACAGTGTATGTTATTATTAATGCTCCTCTCCGTTATACATGTAAATAGATTATTATAATAAACATTTTGATATTAATAATTTATTCTTACCCCAGCTAAGAATTATGAAAGGGATAATATTACTCCCACTACAGCCCGTCCTCTTAATTATACACTACATCATTTCACTGTTGTAAAATCAGTCAAATGGGAGTGATGAAGGCACCTTAAGGGGCACGTCAGTTCCCCTGTCTTCTAATATGTTATTTTTCCCCTATACCTTGTCCATAATTACTATCGTATTTGCTTCGTCTTCATTCGTAAGGTGAAGTCCAGGATCTTTCCTTAATTCATGGTATAACTAAACAATCTTTGAGGACAATTGTGTTGTAGAGGTCTGAGCAAAGCTCAGAGGTCTGCAACACAATTGTCCTCAAAGATTTAAGTTATGCCATGAATTAAGGAAAGATCCTGGACTTCACCTTATAACAGCAGACAAAGCAAATACAATAGTAATTATGGACAAGGTAGATTATAGTGGAAAAATAAACATATTAGGAGACGGAAATTCACTCGCCTCTTAAACAGTGAAAGATTGATAGTTTTTTTTATATTTTATTTAAAAACACTACAAAACAAAATTATGAAACCTTGTGACCAAGACCAATACATACAACATAAACCTTACTCCATACTGGCATACAAGGTTCTCCCATCACAATTCCACTACATGGTATATACACATGGAATAAATTACATTTGCGATAAACATTTCGCATATGAACAACTGCATTAACCCTATGTGCTAAACCCAGCACCATAAACACAAACCATAAAAATGCCCACTCCTTCCTAAATACATAATGCACTGCATAATACCTCTATGTTATTAAGTCATATATCCACAACATGGGTAGGGGCAAAAATACAATATTCAATGATAAACATGAACTCTACCTGTCGCTACACCAGGTCTTTGAACAGACCCCATGTATAACACAAAGCAACCCTAAATTAACTTCCCAAAAAGAATATCAGCCACTAGCACAATGGGTTCATCATACAATAGTATAGGCACCATGCCAACTACCCCACTCGTCCCTCCCAGTGGGAAGGCATACCCACTATATCATATGATTTACATAAAAGAACACACACAACAACGAAGCATAATCCTGCATGTTTTGTACTGAAAACTTCAGTACATAGGTGTACTGCCACCTACTCCGACATTACAAAGGATACTCGTTAAACACACCACAACCAGAACAAGCACACCGATACAATAAGAATAAGTAATTTCACTAAACGCGGCAATTGAGCCAGTCAAAGCATAATATATGTATATCCTTCCTATACATCAGTTAAACAAACCCATGCTGTAAGGTGATAAAATTGTACCTCTACAAGATTCATCTCACAAGGAGCTATCTCATCCCCATATACATTTATTTACCCATACACATATACACACATACGCATATATATACATACATAGATATATACACACACGTATGCACTCACGCATTCTCATACATATAAATATGTATGTACACATACACACTTAATAATTGCATATATCACAGTATCTGTGAAAAAGCCATCACGCTCACATACAAGTTTTCCATATCATCATAAAAAGCACACACAGGTTACATGAGTTGAATTCACGAGCATACAACGAAGAACAATCTCACATGCCGCTTCCCCATAATTAATTAAAGAAGCACAATATATACTTACGCTACAACACACACAGAAAACCTCATACCTCATACCCAATACTCTCACAACCTACACATCATAAAACACCATTTCTCTTTGTTAACATATAATAGGTGTTCCAGTCATAATCACACACACTAGCCCCCCCCTCGGGGAGACCAGCCCGCCGCATCCCCTGACCCCCTCCCCCCCTTACATCCCCAAAAGGACCCCCACCGTTAAACCACGATAGCTTACAAGGAAATCCCGCTCTCACCATATCCCGTAAAGAACCCGATTTCGACACAATGTACGATAAAAGGTCGCCGCTAATACTCTTTTACGCACCCCCCTTCCACCTGACCCCTCATTGCCCACGACACAAACACAAAATCCACAGTAAGGTAACCAAGTGCACGCTGCATAGGGATACCCACCCCTCCCACATCCAAACTTAAAGCCCGCAAAACCAAAATCCCCCCTCCCACCCATCGAACTACTCTCCCCATCCACTCCCGTACTTCCCCCAATCGTTCACAGAAACAGACTGCATGAAAGGCTGTATCCTCACCCCCACAAATCCCACAGACGCCCTCCTCTCGAATCCTCGGGTCTCTAAGAACCGCACCTGATGGCAGGATACCATGGAGGAACCATGGAGGAACCTCCCATTCCTGCGGCTGGATGCATAGTCTACACCTATCCCAAATATCCCTCCATGCATACATTGGATACACTCCTTCCACTGTCGCCACCTCCCTTTTCCCCACCACTTTCTCTAAAACCCCCACCCCCACTCGGAGGAACCCCCTCTTTACATATACACTCATGATCCTACTCTTTAAATTAATTAACCCCATCCTGCCTCTGTGCACTGGGAGAGTAACAACTCCCCTCCACAACCAATCACACCCCGACCCCCAAATAAACCTAAAGACTCTCCTCAATAATACCCCAATATCTGACTGTAACAATGGGTACATAGCTACCACATGCCAAATTTTACTATATAGTAAGACATTTACTACAATGACCCGCTGATGAAGCGTTAAATGACCCGGCCGCAACCCATCCAACCATCTAGTCACCCGTTCCACGACACTCCCTGAATTAACCATCCTAGCTTGCTGTGCATCCTGCATATACTCAATCCCACAAATCTTGACCTGATCCACAACACTCAACCTCCCACTACCTTCCCCTCCCAATCCCCCAACCCCATAAACTTAGACTTCTCTACATTCACCCTCATACCAGTAGCCTCTCCAAACAGGTCCACAATCCTCCCCACCCCTCCTAAACCCTCCCCCTCCCGCACAAGAATCATCGTGTCATCTACATAACCGACAATTCCCGGCACACCTCGTCCTACCCACCCCTGTCACTCCCCCCTCACACATACCTCCACTGCTCTATAAAACGGATCCTGCAAACATGCAAAAAGTAATCGAGATAAAGGACATCCCTGCCGCAGACCTCTACCCATAGGGATCCGATCCCCCACCCTCCCATTCACCTACACCCAAACAACCGGTCCATGATACAATGTTTGCACCCACCTCACAATCTCGTCCCCAAACCCTTGCCTCCTCATTATCCACCATAACGCCTCTCTCTTGACACTATCATATGCCGCCCACCAATCCAAGGCCAACACCCCATCCCCCTCCATTCTTTGCACACACTCCACAAACCCCTGAATCACTCCATGCCCCTCATACATGGTCCTTCCTGGCACCCCATACTGGCTCGCTGCCACCACCCTATTGATCACACACTTCCACCTATTCCCCAATATTTTAGCAAATAACTTATACAGTGGACCCCCGGTTAACGAACTTTTTTCATGCCAGTAGTATGTTCAGGTGCCATTACTGACCGAATTTTTTCCCATAAGGAATATTGTGAAGTAGATTAGTCCATTTCAGACCCCCAAACATACACGTACACACGCAGTTACATAAATACACTTACATAATTGGTCGCATTTGGAGGTGATCGTTAAGCGGGGGTCCACTGTAATTCTCACACAGTAAAGAAATAACCCTATAGTCCTTCACAGTGCGTGGACTGGCCACCGCCGTTGCCTGCAAAACCCCCAGCTCACCCCTTTTTTTCATCTCATACAACAACTTCACCAAGAACTCTTTAAGTATGTCCCAATTTTGTAAGTAAAACTCACATGGCAGACCATCGATTCCCGGGGATTTACCCTTACTCATACTCGATAATGCCCTCCACACCTCCCCTTCTTCAATGTCCCCTCCCAGTGCCATATGGTCCCCCCTGCTCAGAACATTGACCACATGCCATTCCAACTGCCCTAACACCCCCCCTTCACACAACACTCCTCAAGGAAGTCCCGAACCATTCATCCACATAATGACCCATCCCTTCCATTGTACAAAGCACCTGCCCCACACGATACCCTCTGACCTCCTCTTGCACTAACAAGCATTCCATCTCTGTGGCCGCCTTATGCTTCCGCTGCCCCTGCAGAACACACGCTGATGGCCTGTCACCCCACAAAACTTCTAACCCACCCTTAACCTGCACTGCATCAAATTTCTCATTCTGCAATTCCCTGATACGTTGCTTCAGCCCCTCTATTTCCTCCGCAGGAAAGCCCCCGCCCCCACCCCTCTCCCATAACAATCCTTCAACTGCCCCTCTAAATATCCTGTAACCCCAAAAGTCATCTGAGCCTCCCCCTTGCCCTGTCTAACATAATACGCCCTGATCCTCCCCTTTGCCACTCCATCTCACCATGCCAACATATCCCCAACAACCTCCACCCCTGACCACAACTCCCTCCACAATTGCACAAACCCCTCCCTCCCCCCTCTGTCTGCAAGGAGCCAAACATTCAATTTCCAAAACCTTCTATGCCTCCTAGGCAGCCCATCCCACCCCACTTCAACGAATACCTCCCAATGATCTGAATATGCTACTTCCACCACACACACCCTTTCCACCCTTGCAGTCCGCGTTACATGTAAACGGTCCAGACGAGCAGCATACCCTCCCCGCACAAACGTGTGCTCCACCTCCCATGCCTCACCCTTAGCCACATCCCACAACCCCGCCCCCCGCAAAAGATCCCCTAACATTACAGAGTAAAACCCTGCCCCTCGAGGCTCCACATCATTCCTTCTCACCACATAATTCCAGTTACCCCCCACAACCACCACAGGAGGAAGCGACCGGAGGTGGTACACTAACACATCCCTCACAAAGGCATTCTTGACACGTCCATCCCCCTCTGTGGGCCCATAGACACACACTAGCACCACCCTTCCCCCCATCCACTCGTACGACCCGCCCCTCCTCCCCTACCTCACTACGATACACAACAAACGAGCTGGTCTGTCGCAGAAGGATGGCGACCCCCCCTTT